CCTTTGCAATCTTATCTCAAACAATGAGATCATTATGGAGATGGAGAGAGGGGAGGCATTCTGTAGTCCTAACACACTGACCATATACAAGGGTGACAACACTGCTTCTCCATAGGTACAGTGAGTGTTGTCATCCTAGGACAGGAAGTGTGTTACTGGCAGGATCATTGGCCGAAAATAAAGGGGATTAAAGAATACAAATGCAGCCACCACGTCTAAGGTTAGGCTGGTGATCTGCAATGTATTACATTTTTGTGCATGGGTATGCTGTAGGCAAGCTTGTGCTTCACCCATGCATGGCAAAGCTGAAGGTTTTCTATCTTGCCCCCCAACCCCGCAGCACATACTTCCCTTTTCTTTACTTACCTGCAGCTCTGTTAGGGAAGAGGAACTGCAGTCTTTTTGCCATGTGAATGTGCATGGCAGTGAAGCAAGAGAAAGAAAGGTCAGTGGTTGCAGTATGCATGCACAGCCATCCACCACTCAATGTCTGCAGAAACCAGAAATGAGGCCGTTACTTTGGGCAGCACAGTGACATAGTGGTTAGTACTTCTGCCTTGCAGCACTGGGGGTCCCAAGTCAAATCCCAGCCAGGACACTATCTGCAAGGAGTTTGCATGTCACTGTCCTTGTGTGGGTTTCCTCCATGCACTCCGGTTTCATCCCACACTCCAAAGGCATGTTGGAAGCTTAATTGGCTCTGGTCTAAATCGGCCCTGTGTGCATGTGAGATAGAGACCTTAGACTGAAAACTGGCAGGCGGCTGTACATAGCTTCCTGAAAACATCACATCATCCTGCCTCAGTACTCCTCTTAAGAGCCCTCAGCCCTGATGCAAGCAGTGGACTTGCTCTTGTAAGGGAGCTATGCAAATATCATAATGCCTTGCTGGGTCAGCCTTGAGGAGTAGGTGTCAGCATTCCTAGGCAGACTATATTTGCATTCGATCCTCCCTAGTTAACACCCACGTGTGATGATGAGCTGTCATGATTGAGAGAGATGAGTGGGCTAGGAGCAGTCAGGCTGGGGAGGAAAGGGCTAGATAATTCTGGATGTTCTCCAGCCAGGAAATGAGGCCGGTTCTAGCTGACTTGCTGGAGCTTCTAATGCACATTGTGAGAAGCTCTCACTGTGCAGTGAAATCAGAGGAAGCCATTCCAGTCCAGGAGAGGTGCCGGTACAACTGTGCAAGACTGAAGAGGAGGCCGGAGTTCAGCTTTAATAAAAGTTATACATAGTAGGGCTTTACTATTGTTGTTACTTACTTGAAGCCCATCTAATACTAACGGGTCTATTTATAAACAGTTCACAGAGACATTCACCCTCCCAATCAATGTGGACGTTCGCTGTGTGTGAATGGAGGCAAGAACTTCTTTCTTAGTATATCACGTTGAATATAATGTAATACTGCATTATGACCACTAGATGGAGTTGAGGAGGACAGGAAGTAAATACGTATTCCCTATGCTCCTCCGCTCCATCTGGTGGCCATAATGCAGTATTACATTACATTTGACCTGAAGTTAAAGCGGACCTTTACACTCAAAAATCAAATTCTACCAATACATCCCTCTGTGTATGATGATTCATAATAACATGGACATGTCAGGTGATTGTGAAATACTTGCAGAGCATTCACTTCCTGCTTTTAAAGTGCAAAATAACTTAAGTTTGCAATCACAATGCACACTGGGATTGCTTTGTCATCAGGAGAGCATTGCTGGGAAATCTCATCTGTAATCTCAGGAGATCTCAGGGAAAGGCATTTTCCTCCCCTGAGATGATGTGCATGGTCACATGTCCTAGTCACATGTACCCGAAATCCAAGAAGTAAAGGGAGAGCGAGTAATCTGCCCTTAGTAAACATGGCCACTGTCAAAAGACAAGAGAAGAAAAGAGAAATAAGGTGCAAAGAATACAAAGCCGGCAATTATCTAGAAGTATGTGATTGTAGATTGTCATCACTAAACATTTCTAAAGGTGTGTTTGTTGTTATGTTAAAGAAATGGGTAAAGGTTTTTGTTTTAAGAAAGTTTTTTTTCTATTCGCACAGAACGAGCGTCCACAGCGATGCGCAGAGCGAATGGCTGTGCAAATTGTTTATATATAAACCCCTAAATGTCCACCTAAGACTACCCGGTCTACGCGGTGACAACGCTGCTGTGCTTTCACTGCAGAACTAACAGCGTTGTCAACCTGTTACAGGGAATGTAAAACCAACAGAACTACTGGCAGCATCAACAGGTCCTCTTCCGGTGCTGCCGTTCTGGAGATATTACTCTTTAATAAACAAAATCACTTTCCCTTGTATTGCATTATCTGCGGCCGTCGTGGATCGGCAGCGCTGTTCCCGATGTATTTTTGTTTGCTGAGAGCGTTCATATGACAGAAGCATCTCAAAATAACTGAGAGGCAACAGATTGCTGTGCCGTGTGGGTGAATCTGTTCCCTGCAGAATTCCATTTTAAGGTCCGGGGTGCACGTTTGCGTTGGCAGTTTTTTTGCATCTCATTGGCATTTTGTTCCAGGAAGACGAGATTTCATAGAGGACGGGAGTCTGTGTCAGAACAGGAATGTTTCAATCTGCTAAGTATCATTTTACTTAAAGAGACCCTGTCACCAACCTCAAAAATCAAGTATTTCAAAGCAGAACTTCGGGCAAAACTGTTCTTAACCCTTTGCAGTGGGGCTACCCTTCCCCCCACCGCACTGCAAGGGTTAAGTGCTCATTTTTGTCTAGGCGCTTTAAAGGAGAACTATGGGGTCAGTGCTTTTCCCCATAGTTCTCCTAAGGGTAACGGGAGGACACAAACTAGCGTCCTCCCATCACCCAAAGCTCAGTATATCGTTATCACAATCAAGCGGCTATGGTGGCCTTGGACGGCAGCTGCGGAACTAATTTAGTAGGCTGTATGGGATTCGGTCAGTCAGGCGACTTCCTACACACTGAGTGCGCTAGGAAGTCGTTCCACATCATGTATCCCAGCCCTAGCTCAAGGGAAGTTACATGTCACGGCTCTGTACAGGGATAGATCGAGAAGTGAAAGAGCGACGCTATATGCTCGCTCACTTCCCGATCTATTGAGCCGACCTGTGACAGTTTAATTGTCACACGTCGGCTCCAACTATGAGGATGAGTGATTTTCACTCACCTCATAGTTCTCCTTTAATGAAAAAGTTATACTCACCCGAACCATGGAGCCAGCTTGCTCTTAGACCAGTCCCTGGAGCCTCTCTCCCCCTCCACTGCAGCAGTCTTAACTCCCTGAATTATCACGTTCTATACACAGGGGTACAGGTACTCTTAAAAACTAGACCACACAGGGACTCATATACACAACCCTCCAAGCTCGCTCCCGGGATGGACTACAATCTCAATATAAATTAGTAATGTAAACATGAGATTGTAGTCCATCCCGGAAGTGAGCTTGGAGCGGTGACTACTTTACAACACACACAGGGACCATGGGGAACAAAAGTAGCCAACTCCTGAATTTAGCGTCACTTTAAAAATAGACTAGAGTTCCACTCCAAGGTTCATGTAAGTATAATTATCACAACGTATATGACATCTGAGCTATTTATGTGGTTTTAGATATATTACGTCTTTCTTTTTATTGTCCTCCTATAACAGATCAAAGTTCTGCGGATAACACAGTAGGATGAGATAGGGAGGCGTCTATGGATCGATGAACAGGGCAAAGGTATGTGAATCCAATTCAGAGAGATTACATAGCTGTGCTCGGCTCACATTTGCGGCATGACAGTCTGATTACTGGTACGGAGCTGTGTGCCTTCTGCTTCCGTCATCAGTCCAGCAAGAGACACACATAGACTTACAGATCTCTGGGCACTAGGGTGGCTGCGGTGAGTAGATTTGTTTTCATAAGGCTCAACCTTTAAGTTTATTTCATTGCATTACAGGCTAGGTGGGTGCAGTGTATCTCATACATATAAAAAGTCCAACTCTGCCTAAACCTTCCAGTTTTGATGGTCATCCATTGGCTAAAGCTGGCCATACACCTATAGATTATCTGGAAATTTTCTATGGTCAGATGGAAAATTGCAAAATATTCCTCCATTTACGCTAAATTGTGTGGATAGAGGAATCTCCCACTGGGCCAAGCTTCGGTATCTTACTAGTCGGCCCCGCTGGCTCTCAAAATACCTGAACAATGCCTTCATCCAATCAGCTTGTTCAGGTATTTTGACAGCCAGCATGACGACTAGCAAGATACTGATAAGCCAAGATCAGGTAAGTAAATGCTTTATTCCAGTGTTGCCTGTGGTCTCCCTGCAGCTGATCTTATTGACTGACTTACCATGCTTTGACCTGCACTGTGTCTCTATGCGGATGACACCATCTTGGTAGAGGCAGGTTTGCTTCCCCATGTCAGAGCCCCCAGCAAGGAGAACAGTGAGCAGCACATTGGCGGCATCACCAAATCTCACTCCATATCTCCTGAGACTAGCAGTCAGAGGCAGCAGTGCTTTAGATCTCACACTGCAGATATACAGCTATAGGCACCTAGGTACCCTCACATACCAGGAAGTGCTCTGAATTTTTCAGGAGGAATTCCAGACAATAGGTAAATTTTTTTTTTAATGAACTGCTTAGGCAAAAATAACATTTCTAAATGTTCCCTCTAGCAGAGAAAAAACAAAATTTTTGAGTTAAGGTTCACTTTAAAATAGTAATCATACAGCATATGTATATTCACATGCAAAGATGAACTACACTTCATATTTGCATCAACCAATGACAGCCACTAAATATCATTTACTTTTAAGTGACTATCGCAGGCTGCTGCAATCTGTGTAGATAGATCCCCGGTTTTGGCTGGGTCGGGATCTAGATGTAATACTTTAAATTATAATTCGAATATCAGTATATTGAAACCTTTTGTTTCTGTGCCCTCCGGTCTGCACTATTTGTGCTTTGATTCCACTTGCAGTGATTTCCAGCTGGAGGACTTCCAGCCCACGACCAAAGAGGCAGCCTGAGATCTGATAACCTACTGGGATTGTGGCTGCACAGGCAGTGTGTGGCTGCACAGATCTTGGATTCCATTGTGCAAGCCTGCAGCGAGGGAGCGTTGGATCTGATTTATTATCCGGCAGGACATTTTTAGTAAACAGCGGAGCAGGGAAAACTTTATTGTTCCGACATATTTACCTACATAAAGAGGATTTCCTGCAGAGAGTGGCCTGTGAGTAAAATATACATTGCTGCTGACTTTACTTTATGTCTCTTCCAGTTGCTACAACTCCATACTTTTACAATAGCCCACGTTTGTTATTGGGGTGCCTATGATAATATCATATCATAGACACCCCAACAGTATTATATTTAAAGTATTTGTCAACACACAACTACAAAAAGACATTTAACACGACTAATATTATTTCCTGCTACCATGTTTCCTTTTTTATAAAAAATAAATGTTTAGAACCTTTTCAATATGTTATATTCTCTGTTCTCTTCTTGCTTCCCATAACGAGGGATCATGTTGGCATAGTAGGTGGGCGGATGGACAGAGTGCGACATCACACACAGCAGGGAGCACTGTGTGCTCTGTGGTTTTGACAGTGAGGCAGCTGCTGGAAGCTTCTGTCAGATGTCACAGCAGGGCTTGCAAGGGAGTGTGGCACCTTAACTGACTAGGGGAGATATGGGCATGGCATCCTGTATCTCTCAGGAATATCAACACAACTGGGCTTGGCGGGGAGCGTGCCACCTAAACTTACTATGGAAGATATTGGCACACTGTCCTGTATCTCTCAGGGATATCAACACAACTGGGCTTGGCGGGGAGTGTGGCACCTAAACTGACTATGGAAGATATTGGCACACTGTCCTGTATCTCTCAGGGATGTCAACACAACTGGGCTTGGCCGGGAGCGTGGCACCTAAACTGAGTATGGGAGATATTGGCACACCGTCCTGTATCTCTCAGGGATATTAACACAACTGGGCTTGGCGGGGAGCGTGGCACCTAAACTGACTATGGGAGATATTGGCACACCGTCCTGTATCTCTCAGGGATGTCAACATAGCAGGACTGGGTGAGGAGCGTGGCACCTAAACTGAGTATGGGAGATATTGGCACACCTTCCTGTATCTCTCAGGGATGTCAACATAGCAGGACTGGGTGAGGAGCGTGGCACCTAAACTGAGTATGGGAGATATTGGCACACCGTCCTGTATCTCTCAGGGATGTCAACATAGCAGGACTGGGTGAGAAGCAAGGCACCTGAACTGACTACTGAAGACCTGTATCTCCTAGAAGCAATCTCAGGAACGCTGACTGACCACACCAGCACGGATACAGGAACCAACAGGCACTCAGCTTCCACTGATGCTCAGTGGGCCGTGTCTAGAAGCTGGCAGATGCCTGCAAAGCAAAATCTGCTCGCCCCTTCACCTTTCCCCTGTGATTGTCGACCCCGTCGTTGCATGCCAGGAGTAGGCATGGCTTGCCTGGGAATCGGGGGTAGGAGAATCTTGCCCAGGGTTGAGAGATGTTCTGCAGATTTCATGCTACTAGTGCTCCCATGGAGAGTTGGAAGACCAAGCCCATTCAGGGCAGTGACCTACCTTAATGTGCCTGTATGTTTGTGAAGACACACACAGTTTACTAGCACACACAATGGTGGCTCCATAGGACCCTGCAAAGGAAAGGAACCACCCTAAAACAGGATATCATGGCCACTGCGCATGGAACCAGCTGAATCTGCAGGGAGCTAAAACTTTTAAACATCAAGGAGAAGCATTCATTGTAAGTGATTTAAAAGATTAAACCATTTTGTCTTTCAAATTCTTTTATTCATTTTCAACAAAAAAAAAGTAAACAAACATTTAAGACATAACAGTTAATACATATACTTTATACAAGCAATTAGGTGTCCCCATACCAACGACGTTGCTTCATACCTTTCCTCCCTAACCAAACATATATATGCACTATTCCAAATACACAGGGGAAAAAAGGGGTGATAGCGGCATATAATGATTAAACCATTTTGACTTTAACATCTCTTTAAGTGGATCTGCATTTAGATTCTTGTATTGTCCAGCAGAGTTCGCCCTTTTCAAGAGGAAAGCCTTGGGGGCTACTATGCCTGGGCTGGCTGCCAAAGACCCTACTGCCCGTTGACTAGTAAAGAGAACCTGTCCCCTCGATGAGTTTGCAGGCCAAGCAAAGTGTACATGTAGACTGAAAACACGAAGCACACAGCTCACCCATATCATGCGTCCCCGCAAACCACATTCCGTGCACGGGTGACTCTCTTCCGGAGTAATAGGCACAAAAACTGTGGAACCAGCACACAATAATCTTCCATATAAATTCAAACTTTATTCTGCTGTGCAGTTATATTGGTTGTCCATTTGCAGTCTTCTAATTGCCTCTGTACCAGCATTGGTGCTCAATTATTTTGTTTTTTTGTCAAACAGCAGAATCACCATGCACATTTGTTTCAGCCTACCATGTTTTTAGGGGGCAGGTCATCCGCGCCGGTCACCCCGTATTAATAATTAAGTGACAATTATAAGTAATTTAGAAGTATATACAGTAGAAATGTAGGAGAATATGAGCTTATCAGCGAAACAAATGTGACTTTGACCTCTAGGACAGTGCAGGCTTATCTTCACCAAGCTGTTTAATTTCCAAACCCAGATCCTCAAAGGTTAATACGGCCATAAATCACTGAAGTTTACCAGACTTTCTAGTTCAGTGAATTCAGACTTCTATCCTCAGACTAGAACGTTATACAAATCTCCCGGCACACTCTCCAGCTCGGCAGCACAAAAAGCCTATTTAAAGCTCATCTAAACCCAGCAGCTTAAGTTGAAGAGTACCAGTCCTCAGATGGGGGGCCGCATTCGTTTTTTCAGATTGTTTTAAAATTGTTTCCTTAATTTTCACCTGGTGATCCTGCCAGTGACTAACTCTTCCTGTCCTAAAGTGACAATGCCGATTCACCATATTGTATCAACAGGGTTGTCACACTAGGACAGGACTCCATTATACCTCCCCCTATTCCTTTTTCCATAGCATGGGGAGAGGTGTTCTCTGGTCTTCAGAGACAACCAGGAACAATGTAACTGATAAGAGTTTAGCACAGGCAGAGTATGCAAGACCCTTTGTCAGTGCAGGACACAGTCAGGGTGTCTTGCAGGACTGTCCTCTTCTGTGTCTAATCCTTTTTTGGCCATTTAGGGGCTTTTCCCTGATAAGCCAGTGCCGGTGCATATAGGGTCAGCCCGACAATTTTGTCCGCCTGGGGATGTGGTGTATACTGGCAGTGCACGTTACCGGGGTGGGTATTGGTGGCGCACGTTATGAGGGGGGCTGTAATGGTTGCATAGTACCTCTGTCCGGTACTGTGCAGCAACCTGTGACACTCTGGCTGGCATCCCACCCAGCTCACTGATGTCACTGGTTGCCAGGGGCTTGGCGGGACACCAGCCAGAGCTTCCTGCTCAGCTCCGGGCAACCAGTGACATCAGTGAGTTGGGTGGGATGCCGGCCAGATCGTCACAGGTTGTTAAGAGCTCTTAGCAAGCTGGGACACTGTGGCCGGAAAGGGGGTGGCAGGCACACCTGCCCCACGTGACCCAATGAGATTCCACGTTAGGCAAACGCCTCGGGCCGCCTCATTATATGGACAGCCCTGGGTGCATTTGTTAGTCTGTACTGACTCATAGACATGTACAGAACTTAAAAATTTGTTTTCGACGAAACAAATGAAAAGGGAAAAACCTTTTCATTTGTGTCGTTTGATGAAACAATGAATTGAGGCAACGAACCTACGAATCTGAAAGCGCACAATTACAAAAAACAGTGTGGCGGCCATATTGGAGGCAGGGTGCATGCGTGTCACCATCTTGGAGTCGGGTGCTGTCATTCTCATATATGGGGCCACCATCTTGGATGCAGCAAGATGGCGGTGCCTATACAAAACGAATGAATATATGCCCAAATATATTTTATGTATATTCGGTCTTATAATCATTCGTTATTTTGGATTCGGACAAACTGCCGAATCAACAGAATTTTGTGATTCAGCAAGTTCATCCGAATCCGCATGCACATGTCTACTGACTCCTGCACTTCAGCCTATGCCTGTTACTGTGAAAGCGCTAGGCCATTTTGTCTTGAATATTCTGATCTGGTCCAGTGTTTTGAGCTAAAATTGCTTTGCTTCTGATCCTGTCTGTTTAAAGGTATATCCTGTTGCTCCTGGACCTGGTAATGACTCCATCTATGTCTGTTTGTCTGCTGTTTACTGACACTGTGCCTGTTTCTTTCTGTGTTTGTCCAGCTTGCAATTCCAATGAGTTGCATACTGGGAGCTGTTCTACTGTACAAGTCCATCTGTATCTTTAACAGTTCTTGCCCCTGCTCCCTAGAAAGGGCCATTTACCATTAGATGGCAGCTTGGCATACTTGTTTCCATCCTACCGTATACCTGCTTTCCTGCACTGTGCTTACATTTCTGTTCTTGCTCCCATCAACAAGTTCCTTCACTCCAGGAGTTCCCACTACCTCCACATATGTCCAGCAGTACCCCATGCTACCCACAACATTTTTAGAAACTATAGGCTGAATTAACATATTCATGTCTGCAATATGTAGTTTAATGTGCCTGCATGTTGCCCCATGCAGAGGGAATGCTAATCTATCTATCTATCTATTCATCTATCTAATCTATATATTTCTACTTATTCCTAGGTCCCCTGAAGTCTCTTACTTTCATGGACTCCGAATGTCAAGGCAACCACTCCCCCAGAGTGGTTATAATTGGTGCTGGATTTGCAGGACTTGGTGCTGCCAGCACCTTGGTGAAGCACGGCATAAACAACCTGGTTGTACTGGAAGCTTTAGACCAAGCAGGCGGGAGAGTTTTGACACATAAACCTTTTGGGGCGGCAGCACTGGAACTAGGGGCCACGTGGATCCATGGTCAGAAGGACAACCCACTTTATCAAATGGCCAAAGAGAACCAGTTGCTGGCTGATGATGGCTTCAATATGGTGACGTGCCAGCCAACATCTGTGACGCCTCAGGATTACTTTTTCACGGAGGAAGGAAAGCTGCTGCCGTCAGCACAGGTTGAGGGAGTCACATGCTTTTTTGGTGACCTGATGTCCAAGATTATCTTGCAGGACTTTAAACTGGAATGCGAGTCGTGGTCAGTTGGGGAGTATCTAGATCATGAATATGCCTTATCCAGTGTTTCCAAAGACGACGGAGTCTATGAATGGTGCAAGAGAGCAGAATGTATTGATGAGGCTTGTAATTCCATGTATGAATTTTCTTTGAGCCAGCTTGGCTTGTATACTGCACTAGAAGGGCCTTTCTTCAACTCCTTGGGCAGCAAAGGCTACCAAGCCTTGCTTGATATTTTGATAGGCCAATTGCCGCCTAATAGTCTACGGTGTCATAAGCCAGTTCGATGCATACAATGGGAAGGCTCTCCATCCCCAGCCACCAGAACATCTAAGTATCCTGTTAAAGTCTTTTGTGAAGATGGTGAGGAGTTTCCAGCAGATCACGTCATTGTCACAGTGTCCCTTGGCTGCTTGAAGGAAAGAGCATCCACCTTTTTTGATCCACCGTTGCCAAGAGGCAAAATGGAAGCCATTGAGCGTTTGGGATTTGGCACAGTAGCCAAGATTTTCCTGGAGTTCTCTAAACCTTTTTGGCCAGAAGACTGTGCAGGTATACAGTTTGTTTGGAGGCGGGGTCCTGAAAGCTCAGAGGGATATTCCGATTCACTCAAAGAATATTCCTGGCGTTCACAGTGGTACAAAAAGATTGTGGGGTTTGACTGTGTCCCCATGCACAGGAGCACATTGTGCGGCTGGATCACTGGACTGGCTGCAGAGCACATGGAGAGCCTACCTGAAAGTGAGGTGGGGAATGTATGTACCAGGTGAGCAGCCACTCTGGACCCTCTCAGTCCTCAGTCTCAACTTTTATTTTAAGCGTTACAAAATCCAATACAGTCATATGTTGCTAGATTTTCTCTTGTTCCACCTATGGGCTGAATGAGAGAAAATCAATCGATTCCACCATCCATGCTAAAGAGCATGGATAGAGGAATCTCCACTGGTGTCTCTTGTATTCAATAGCCACAGCACCCACCGCTGCCTGAATACCTGGATAGTGACTGCACGAGATAGGATGCAGTCAGTGTTCGTGTGATAATTATCCACCTGACTTCTCTAACCGTGTGGTGATTTCAGGGCCACCTGTGGCCCGAATTTCAGCTGATTCAGCAGGAATCGGTCAAAATCCAAGCCGTCCATGGCCACTATAGAGCAGAGCCGTTGTGGGGAGCTCTATGGTGATGTTAAAGGTTTAAAAAAAAACCTGTGCCAAGATCATGTACAATAAAGTATTCACATATTATGAACAAGCAGTAAAAGCACTTTACACCAAGCCATCATTCATCTCTATATCAGTAAGCATTGTGGAAAAATGAATTTTCAAAGTTCACAATACTGTGCTTTTCTAAGAGAGCAGATCTTGGCACTATGGTTGGAATGGTCCATGTACCTAGCATGCCATCCCTCTAATGTAAACGCACAACAGGTTTTCATAAGCTGATAGAAACCAACTGAAACTGGACTTTAAAGTCTCTGTTGTGATCTTCGAGGATCTTTGAAAATGAATAACTTCACATTAAAAGCAGCTAGAGAGGTCAGAGATGTCTTGTTTTAATGAAACTGGTTGTCAAGGAGCATGCAAATAGTTTAAAGGGTTAAAAAAAACCCTCAGCGTTTTTTTGCATATATCTACTGCTAGCAAGCAGTAGATACTGTATATGCAAAAACATTAAAATAAAAACTTTTCAAACAGGTTAAAACTTACCTGTGTCTTCGCCGCGCGCTCCCGTCTGAACATCTGAAGAGTCTCGGGCGGCCGCAAAGGATCTTGGGAAGGGCTCATGCGCAGTTCAGATCTTCGGCCGGGAGACGAGGACAGACACAAGATAAGTCTATGCAGCAGCGTGCACCCGCACAGACTCCATGGGACATCAGAAAAGAGGGTGACAGAGGAGTCAGCGCTGGATCGGAGACCAGCACCAGCGCTGGAGGGACATCTGAAAACAACGGGAAAGACGAAGATGATCGCATCAACAGTAGGTCTACCTGAAAACTGATTCCTCTTTGATAGAGTTCCCCCTGCCTCCCAGATCGGCTTTGTTTGGGTGCTGGAGGGAAGGCATCCCAGAGCTCTCTTGGGTGAAAAGCTGGCAGCTTTCTGCATTAGATGTGATAGGGACAGCGGGGTGCTGGAAATTAGCTTACATTTAGTGTATACTTTAGTTCCACTTTAATGCTTTCTCGGGCAGCTCTTGCTGAGAACTGCCTGTCCTCTAGCATTGCGTAGGATGTATCAAAAATGCATCGTACATCTATAGCGGTCTGTCTCGCCTGTCTCTGCTCCACTTAGCTAGAGAGCTATTATAAGCCACAAGTTATGTCACGCGTCCATTGTTTCCTCCTGTTTGCAGCTATTTTGTTTATCTAGGGAATGCTGAGCTAGGGAATCACCAGCCATGGGGCTATTATTAGCCCCCATTATAGTATCTTCTTTCCCACCTTCTCATTTTAACTGCAGTAAGTGATTCACAAGAGTTTCCATCTTAGAAGTAACTGAATCATTAATGCTCTCTTTGTATTCATGGAAATTGTTTTTCCCAGAAGTATTTATTGTCTGTGATCAGCTCTTCTTCTCCATGTTTTCTCACATTTAGGTTATTGAAGCAATTCACTGGCTGGCCGGTGCCAGAGCTGCGGGGGGTGCTGAGGTCCACCTGGCACAGTAATCCTTATGTCAGGGGCTCCTATACCAATGTGCCTGTTGGAGTGGACGCAGTGAAGGAGCAGACGGCACTGGGAGAACCAGTTCCATCGACCCACCACAAAAAGGGGCTGCGGGTAGGTATTGGTCGGGGTTGTTTTTACCACTCTTGTTGTGTGATCTTAAAAATTTGTTTTAATACAGGTTATCATTTTAAGAACAGTAGACGGCAGGACCAAGCTTAAGCTGGTCATTACTTTTTTTTTTGCTTGTTACACAGTTTGGATGGGAGAATCTCCCCCTCCAGGCTATTGCAGCCGCAGTGTCAGAATACTCCAACAGTGGTGTTGGGCTGCCAGTTTTTGGCCCGGCCCCTTCAACAGGAGTCAATTAAAAAATTGACTTTTGTTGACTGGAGTGGTGCCGACAGGGCAACCCATGGCTCAAAGTTTGGCCAATTCAGCAGGACTTCGAGCAGTGCATGGCCAGCTTTGCTTTACAGAGGAGGTGGGTGATACAAAGAATGGGACAAACTCACAGATAGGAAAGAGAAGCCACAATGGGAGCGTGCCTCATAGGATGACAATGCTGCCCCTGCATGCAGGGCATAGAATAGCAGGGTTGGTACTCTTGTATAGGAAATGGGGGCTTGAATCTATTTATTTAAATATAGAAAAGGGCAGCGGGTAGGTATTGACCAGGGTTGTTTTTAGCACTCCCCTTTGTGATTGAAAATAAGTTTTGCAGATTGCATGACTTGACTTCCGTCAATGGATACAATGGGTGACCCAGAAACTCTCCTGTTATGTACCCATGCAGGCATAACGTCAGACTCAGGACTCTGACAGCCACAGACATGCAGCAGCATGGTGGGATTTGTAGCTGCACCACAGCCAAGGGCCAGAGTTTGCCTACCCCTGGAATAGGAAATTATGAAAACCCCTGTAAAATGTTTTCTTTTTGTCATCTGTGTCCCATTCCAGAGATTTCCCTTCACTTCCTGTCCCGTAAACTCAGCAGGAAGTGAGAATAAATCTATCCACAGTGAGACAAATCCCCTCATAGTCAGTTGTTGCTAAAACAACTGTCCCCATTGTTCAACTCTATTCTATTTCTGGGTGCAACTCAAAATTTGGGATTTTCCCTCACTTTGTCCTTTTCCTGTACAGGAAGTGAAGAGAAATCTAAATAACACGGATAAAGATGGCAATCAAAAATGGCTGCCATACTGTACTGGCTCTTAGCTCTGTTTTGTCCATGGACACCTGTGCTGTATAAGTTTGCAGTGGGTATTAGTGTCAGTCAAAATTGTGTGTACCTGGTAAAAGAATAAAATGAATGGGGAGATGAAATCATCAGACACATCTGCCTTCTATCTCTTGCCTGTGTCTGGTGTCAGCCTTACACAAAGCTCCTGATTCCTCTCTTTGTATTTCTTTATGCAGCCTCTACAGGTTCTCTTTGCAGGAGAAGCCACACATCCAAACTTCTACACAACTACCCATGGCGCCTACATGACTGGGGTGCGGGAAGCCGATCGGATCTCACAGCTGTATGAGTTCAAGGCCAACCCTCGTCTGTAATTCACCCTGCAACCAACATATCTCCAAGAAGACTCCACCTTCTACTACTACCTCAGATTGTGGGAACCTGTGACCTCAACACCCTCTTTTATTGATCTCATAAAACAGCCACTTTAACTATTTATTATGTGTACATTCATTTCCATTACAGGCTGCTACTTGGGTCTCTCCACCCAGGCTTGATATGTCAGTTTTTGGTGGTTGTTGGAAAGTTGAGCAACCTGACGGCTTCTTATATCCTTTGGGACTCTGTGGTTAGACCCTTGAGTTCCTCGATACTCCAGTCCCTTGATACTCCAGTCCCTAGAGACTTGAGCTCCTAGATACTTGAGTCCCTAGAGACTTGAGTACATAGATATGCAAGCTCCTAGAGACTTGAGCTCCTAGAGACTTGAATACATAGATATGCAAGCTCCTAGAGACTTGAGCTACTAGATTATTGAGCTCCTGGAGACTTGAGCTCATAGATATGCAAGCTCCTAGAGACCTGAGCTCCTAGAGACATGAGCTCCTAGAGACCTGGGCTCCAGGAGACGTGAGCTCCGAGAGGCTTGAGCTCCTAGGCTAATCTAAACTACCGTGTTTCCCCGAAAATAAGACACTGTCTTATTTTTTTGGGGGGGCTCAAAAAAACACACTAGGTCTTATTTTTGGGGTATTTATTTTTATTTTTTCATGTACAACAATCCACACTTATTCATGTACAACAGTCTACATGTATTCATGTACAAAAATATGGTGATCAGGGCAATCGGGTGCCCTACCTTTCCAAGAGCAATTTGCTAACCAATCGCTGGCCAGAATGAGCGAAGCGCGCTTTCACTATCGATTCCTCACAGGCGGAGTGCATTTGGTATCTCTCCGCCTGTGACAGGAGCCGGCGCTGGAGAGCAGGCATCAGCTTATGGGGCTCTGCTCCTTCCGGTGCCGCCTTGCTTCCTCTAGCGCTGGCTTCGTTGGCACCGCTGATTCTCTCCTGTCTCTCCCATGGCTCTTCAAGTTCCCCCTTATGCCATCCACCGGCCCTGGGAATGGTCACAACAAGGTCTTATTTTCGGGGTAGGTCTTATTTTCGGGGTAGGTCTTATTTTCGGGGTAGGTCTTATTTTCGGGGAAACAGGGTATTTTACATTATTTAAATGTTGTGAAATCGGTATGCAACCTGACAGCTTCTTATATCCTTTGGGACTCTGTGGTTAGACCCTTGAGTTCCTCAATATTCGAGTCCCTAGAGACTTGATCTTCTAGAGACTTGATCTTCTAGAGACTCGATCTTCTAGAGACTCGATCTTCTAGAGACTCGAGCTCCTAGAGACTCGAGCTCCTAGAGACCTGAGGTCCCAGAGGCTTGAGCTCCCAGAGACCTGAGGTCCTAGAGGCTTGAGCTCCCAGAGACTTGATCTCCTAGAGACCTGAGCTCCTAGACACCTGAGCTCCTAGACACCTGAGCTCCTACAGACCTGAGTTCCTAGACACCTGAGCTCCTAGACACCTGAGCTCCTAGACACCTGAGCTCCTACAGACCTGAGTTCCTAGACACCTGAGCTCCTAGACACCTGAGCTCCTAGACACCTGAGCTCCTAGACACCTGAGCTCCTAGACACCTGAGCTCCTAGAGACTTGATCTCCCAGAGACCTGAGCTCCTAGAGATCTGAGCTCCTAGAGACTTGAGCTCCAAGATGCTTCAGTTCCTAGGCTGATCTAAACTATTTTACATTATTTAGCATGTGAAATCGGTATGTTCATTTTCAGCACCAATGAGAGATATAAATGATGCTGTCAGCACCCATGTCCGTGACTTTTCACCGAAGCTTAACACTTACCCTCACCATAACACCAACTTGGTTTGCTCACCATTGCTAAAAATTAAAGGAGAATTATGAGGTGAGTGATTTTCTCTCAGCCTCATAATCTGAGCCGACCTGTGACAATGAAACATACCAGCGCTCGCTCACTTCTCGATCCTGTGCCGGCAGAGAGTCATGACTGGCGGAACGGATGGGGAGGGGCGGGTACAGATGGCTCTGCCTCTAGATAGGCAGAGCCAGCTGTCACTCACGGCTGAGTGGATCCAGACATAATTGTCGGGATCCGTTCCGGCTGCGGCGTCTCAGTATACCGCGAACTGTAGCTCGCCACTTACTGAGCTTTGACGGGAGAATGCTAGTTTGTAGACATGTGCGATTCGTTTCATTCCGAATCGAAATTCGGACGAATTTTCGGAAATTCGGATGTTTCCGAATTACAGACATTACGAATGCAAACGAATCCGAATTTCCATTTCCGAAATTCGGTAGCGGTAGTTCGAACGTTCGTTTCGTTTTCTGTTCTTATTCGTTTCTTATTCGTTTCGTTCGTTGGAGCAAAGTGACATTAGAGAAGGAGAAAAATATTTGCTGCAAACGAACGAACGAAACGAATAAGAACAGAAAACGAAACGAACGTTCGAACTACCGCTACCGAATTTCGTCCGAATTCCGAATTGACTTTCACACCCGAATCCCGAAAAACGAAATAACACAAATCCGAATTTAAAACGAAACGAAACTAAACAAATTTTTTGGCAGTGCACATGTCTACTAGTTTGTGTCCTCCCGTTACCCTTAGGAGAACTATGCCCTCCCTGGTTCCTCCACACCCCTTCATTGTGCTAGTACATTTTATAAATAAAAACTTTTATACGCTAGTTAGAGCCAAGTGTCTTGAGAAGGTTTGCATCTAAGCATGAGAAACAGCCAGCCAGATGATTTTTATTGTTTTTAGTCCTTGCTAACTTTTTTTGATACAATAATAAATACCTTAGAGAGTTGTGCAAATATCAAAATGCCTTGATAGGTGGGGGGGTCAGTCTGGAGAAGTGGGCATTCCCATAAGGCTGTTTTTGCATGCAGACCTCTATAGGTTACGCCCACATGTGATGCTGAGCCTCCGTAATTAAAAAGCCAGGGCTGGTTGAGGAGGAAAGCGATGAAAATCCATGGTGGACACATCTCAGCACAATCTTGCCGCTCATGTACCCAAAAGATATAAGAATACAAATGGTGATTCAGTCTACCAGACCCCGCTTGCAACTGAAATACTGATGTCGGGGAGGAGATTCTGTGGCCCTCACAGGGGTTCCCCTGTCTCCTCCCCCTCGGGGGTTTCGTCAGGTCCACGAGGAGAGGGGTCTGCCGGCCTTCGGGTAGGTGGACCTAAGTCGTTCTAGCCCCTGTCAGGAGCCTTGCGCCCCAGGGGGTCAGTAAATCGAGGCCCTTCCTCATCAGAGGAGGACCACAGCACCCTCGTGCACTTTTTTTTTAGTGTGGTGATTTCACGATTCACTTTTTTTGTTCACAGGTGTAATTGGAGTCTTCGATGTATGCATCACAGACCTTAAAAAAAAAAAAAATCACTTTTGGGTGGACTGGCCCTTTAATTGACCCTGTGATAAACACACAGCATTGGCAGGCCATTTGGGATCCAAATCAGCCAATCAAATCTTGAGAAAAGAGTGACTCTGCTGAGCTATTTTGTTAATAAACATGAAAAAAAACTGATAACCTGAATTATTACAAAAGGTAATGTTAAATGATGTCGTCTCAAACAATAAAAAGCGTCCAATCTACCTGCTTGTATGTATGTATATAGAGACTCCTTTTTGTTATCTGTAACATTGGAGCTGTCCATCTCCATCCATCTGTACAGGATGCACAATTTACTGACTATTAATACTATGTATTTGCTGCCATCTAATAACATCTCTTGCATAAAACATTTTACTCACAAGACTGCAACCACACAGTCTCTCTCTCTTCCATTTACCTTGTGAAACTCCATGTATGTTCATTCTGTACAAATGGAGGCTAAAACTGAAGTTATTAGTATATTTTTTTCCCCAGGTTGAATGTAATGTTAGACAAATACCACATCATGGCCACCAGATGGAGCTGAGGAGCGCTGGAAATAAGTATTTATTTATTGCTATACATATGTTCCAGTTTGGGATCTTAGATAGTTTATAGTTGAACATGCTGAATACATAAACCATTCCATCAACAGTGTCAGGGACGTGCTGGGTACATGGGCCATTCCAATAATAGTGCCAGGGAGATGCTGGTTATATGGACCACTATAATGTTGATAGTGTCATGTACATGCTGGTATATGAACCATTCCAACAATCATGCCAGGGACGTGCTGGGTACATGGGCCGTTCCAATAATAGTGCCAGGGACATGCAGGTTATATGGGCCATTCCAATAATAGTGCCAGGGACATGCTGGTTATATGGGCCATTCCACTAATAGTGCCAGGGATGTGCTGGGTACATGGGGCATTCCAATAATAGTGCCAGGGACGTGCTGGGTACATGGGGCATTCCAATAATAGTGTCAGGGACATGCTGGTTATATGGGCCATTCCAATAATAGTGTCATGTACATGCTGGTATATGAACCATTCCAACAATCATGCCAGGGACGTGCTGGGTACATGGGGCATTCCAATAATAGTGTCAGGGACATGCTGGTATATGAACCATTCCAACAATCATGCCAGGGACGTGCTGGGTACATGGGGCATTCCAATAATAGTGTCAGGGACATGCTGGTTATATGGGGCATTCCAATAATAGTGTCAGGGACATGCTGGTTATATGGGCCATTCCAATAATAGTGCCAGCCAGGGACAGGGTACACTGAGCACTGCAACATAGGATAAGACATTCTGACAGACTGAAGAGCTTACATTGTGGCGGATGATGTCTTCTATGTTCTGATACAGAGGTCACTGACCGTGCTGTCTGCTGATAAGCTGCCATGCTGTGACTTTGTCATATTTCAGGTTCCTGCCTTTCCAGGTACATTTTTGCTATTATAAAGAGAGACAATTGCTTTCTTTTAGAGCTCATATTTGTGGCTTTGCACGTTCACATTTCAGGTCTGTGATCTGTCATTCTGCTTTGAGCCCCGGGTCCACATTTTATTGAGCAGGTCCTACCGCAATAACTCCTTCACACTTTTTAAGGAATGTATTCCCACTTGGGACCAGTTCATCATGCTAGAAAATGGACCTGCTGGGCATTCCGGCCTTTGTCCTTGGACCCCTC